CATAGAGGGAGCAAGTTGTGTTATTGTTGTGTCATTATAGACAAGAGTCTAAACGTCTGAGAAGAGGAAAAAAGGTTCTGCTTAGAGTGAAAATATCTTCCTTTCTACACTGAAAAAATTTTGAGTACCGTGCAATCCCAATCGTCGGAAAGTGGAGGAACTATAGTTTGGATGTGCTGCGTTCTCAATTCGGGAAATCTACGTTCCCATGTCGGTGGCGCTGAACACCCAAGATTTGAGACTCAAATCCTTGAGACTGCAATAGCCGCATCTTGGGCGCTCAGCACGCCCGAGTTGGAAATGCAGCTCCTCCAAACTAAAGTCGTATCGCATTCGTAAATTTTCGGTCTACTTGGAACGGCTCGTCACCCAAAATTTTTTCCGTGTATTAATAGTGGAATGATTTGTTTTTATATGGATCATTTCAGATATTCGTCGTTTTATAAAATTTTGTTCATTGTCCAAAATTTTGGCATTTTCCCAATCGAAGTCATGATTACAATTAATTCGATGGCGGTAAACTACAGAGTTATCATTTACTTTTTTATGTTCATTTATGCGAGTTAACAATGGCCGTTTTGTTTCACCTATATATGTTGCAGGACAATCTTTACAGTCAAACTTGTATACAACATTTGTTCTGTCCCATTTTTTAAATGCATCTTTACCAAGTCTAATTATAGAATTGGAGTTTTTATTAATAAGTGGAATCGCAGTAAAATGAAACTCTTTGAGAATATTTGACAACTTAAAGAAACATTTTTCATTGAACGGTAAACAAACCTTCGGGATTTGACTGTAAATACTAATTTTATTTCGATTATTGTTATTATTATTATTAACCTGAGAAAATTTTATATTGTTTGTACGAATTTTTATATGTTTATCAATAAAATCCAAAGGATAGTTATTATTTTTTAAGATGGATCTTATCTTATTTAAGTTATCAAAATGAAACTCTTTGTTGGACAATGAAATCGCTCTATCAACCAGATTGTATACAATATTCTTTTTTTGTTGGATTGGATGATCTGAAAAATAATTAATGAGTCTATCTTATGAAGTTGGCTTTTGATACCAATTTGTGACAATTTTGTTGTTTTTTCTAGTAAGTTTTAAATCAAGAAAATTAATTGAGTTATCCTTTTCTTTCTCAATTGTAAATTGTAATTTTTAATTGTAGGCATTGAAAGTATTGATGACTAAGTTGAAATGTTAAATTTTGCACGTATTTGACGTTTTGTACTGTTAATCACGGATAAATTCATGCGTTTGAATAGAACGTGAAGTAGGATCCTCTCCTTCCGTCGTAATATCGAGATTTTGAAGTCCCGAGTTCGTCGTTATAACGAGAATCGAGTGTAACTTGAATTATTTGAATCACATTTATTTAACTCAAATAAATTTTAATTGTATCAATTAAATAATTAATTGATTCTAATAAACGAATTTATTTAATGCAAATAATTAGTTATTTGAAACAATTAATTTATTTATTTCACTCAATTAGTTGGATATATGATATAAATAAAAATTATATGATATTTATATCTAATTATTTACGTTAGAAAGATAATACAATTGGACTGTTTTGGCTGTTTAATATTTAGCCCTAGTCTCCCTTATATAAAAACTTTTTTTTGTCCTACCTGCACGGAAAGTATGTCATTTCGGGCACTTAGAGCGGGCGCAAAATATATAATTCCACCCAGGGGCAGGGGAAGCGGGCGCAAAATATTTTGCGCCTGCTTCCCCTTCCCCCGAACAGACGGAGAGGATTTTGCGCCCGCGTGTTAATTATTCGATTTTCTTCATTAAAATGCGATATTTTCGATTTTCTTTTTATGTTAACTATAAAAATGCAAACATTTTTAACTTATTTTATTTTGTCTATAAAAATGTGCAATTTTTTTAAATTTTCTCTAAAAAAATTATGACAAATTTGGTTTTGTTCCCATTTCGGTTGTAAAAATTGTCAATTTTAAATACATTGTTTTCTTATTTCTATATTAAAACTTCTATCATTATAGACTTCAAAGAGTTAACATTTATATAGGGTTTAATTTTTAATTAATTTATTTTTATATAATCTTTACAATTTCCCTGACTAATTAAAAAATTTCCTGACTTTTCCCTGATTTCCCTGACCTATTTATTTTTCCCTGACTTCCAGGTTTTCCCTGACCAGTGGCCACCATGAATTAGTTGCCAAGGAATTGCCAAGGAAACAAAATCGATTTTCAAAAGCTTAATTTTCTATTGGCATCCAACAAAAAACCAAGGTTTTGAAAATTGATTTTTCAAATTATTAAGTAATATTTATTTTAAAAAATATATTTTTTTTAATTAATAGAATATATTAATTGAATTTTTCACCTCTGGTAAAACAAAGGTGAAAGACTGATAAAAATTCCCTCAGCGTATCTCACAGTGGAGGAATGCCTGTGAATGTCTTTATGGGAGAGGAGCAGGTACTTATAGAGTCAGTGTAACAGGTCACAAGCGAGAAGAAATCACTAGCATGCACTCTGGCGGCGCTTGTCGGAAATGTTTTCTGGCGCGCATGCATATCATGACATTATCGACACAGCGCTGTGCAACCAACGTTGCGCCACTTCCGACAAGCGCCGCCAGAGTGCATGCAAGTGATTTCTTCTCGATTGTGACCTGTTACACTGACTCTATAAGTACCTGCTCCTCTCCCGCAAAGACATTTACAGGCATCCATGGACGTAAGAAGTAAATGTACGTAGCACTAGGCTGCGGGGTTTAGACCGTCGTAGGTAAGGGGGAAACAGTTCTTTGCGCATGGATTGGTGGAGACTCGGTAATTGGTCAATCTTTTGTCACATATATAGCAGACGATAACGTACATATTTGTTTGTTGTCATCGTTGGTGACTCTAAACTTATCAACAGAAATTAATAGTTAATGTTTCTATTAATTATATAATAATGAATTAAATATGATTAACGGTGTTGCAAGATCTCTAATATTTCGAGGTTATGTGAGACCTTCGATTATGCCCAACAGAATAAAACAGCGACTGGTTTAAATGACGTGAAATAGGTGAACAAACATTTTTCAATTAACTTTTAAATAATCACAGACACTTTTTACAAAATATGTCAACTACAATAGGTAAGCATCTTCTAAATTACAATAATCGAAAATATTGTTCAGATTCATGCAGTAATGCGGTTATAAAATGAAAAATTGGAAGGTAATGTATAAAGCAAACGATATCATAATAGCTGTGCCATTGTGCTCGCTCTGCATGCTTCTGCCCTCTACTGGTCACTGGCTATAAGCACTTCTTGCAGCCTGTCAATGTTACTTTCCAACCTTTCCAATTTTTCATTTAAAAAATCTTTTCGATTATTGTAATTTAGAATGTGCTTGCCCGTTGTGCGTTGGCAGGTTTTGTAAAAAGTGTGTCTGAGTTTCAGAGAAATATTAGTTGGAAAATGATGTTTATTTACCTATTTCACGTCATTCCTCTAGTTAAAATTTATTTATTTAAAGTTTATATTTTTTATATTAAATAATGATACAGGGGCAAATAGTAGGTATAGTAATTTAATCAATAGTAAATTACAAATTATTAAGTAATAAATATTATATAATACGTATTTAATTGTTAAAGTAAAGAATAAAATATAAGACGATAAGAAAATCTATTCTTCATATAGGGGAGAGTAGGCTACATTGAACCAGCGTCAACAGTGAACCACTTCAATTTTCTGAGAAATGACTGAGTGAAATTTTTTCTTATTTAATATATAAGTTAGTTTTACTGAAACAAACTATGTCCAAAAATTTCGGGCACGTAGGTTTATTATTTATAAAGAAAAACCAAAAAAACTGTTTTTCACGTACAAAACAAAAAATTTGGTGGAATTATGACGTTTTTTATTGAAATAGGAAGTTTTAAAAATTAGTAAACTTGCGATTTATTTCGCTTAGGGTGTCAACTTCAATATTCCGATGAGATAAAGAACTTTAAATCTTACACAAATTTATTATAAACAATTTTTGTTGTGAATGTCATGTGAATACAGTGAGTGCGGCATCATTGAACCACCCGAAAAAGCAAAGAATTTTCAATTTTAAGAGTTGTAAAATTGTCTGCTCTACTAATTAGTAAGAAAAATACTGGAAGACATGCTTTCATCACAATTGTGAACGAGATAAACTCAAACTGTCACTTTACCTACCTAACCTGACATTAAAATACATTAATCTCCTATATTAACAAGTAATAACAATTAAATAACAATTTTCTATTTTTTTGAGTGGAAAATAAGATTTTTTACAATGTGTAAGTGGAAATATTATTTTTGAAGTAAATTGTAGTGTTTTATTAGAGGTGGTTCAATGTAGACACACATCCTTCAAAATAAGAAAAGTGTGACTTGTTAGAAAAAAATTAAATTAAATTATTTAATCATAATAATTTGTGTTTGTAACGTGTGTATTAACTAAAGGAGTACTTCAGCTTAATTTTGATACAAAAACCTGATCGAAATTAGTAAAATTTATTTAGTTCTTGGACTTTATAAAATACCCGGTTCAATGTAGCCTACCCTCCCCTACATATTTTATTAAGAGTAGTATATATTATTTTTAAATTTTCACCAAATGATGAATCTAACAAATTTGTTGCATATTTTTATTAGAAAATGCATTTCTTGGAATGTAATTTTTTTGCAGGTTATGTTTTATAGTTAGATTTCCCTCTTTCAATTATGCGCGGCGCAAGCGCCCAAATCAACCAATCCACGAGCCTCCACCTAATCATTACCCTTTACCGATTATGTGTAACACCCCCCTCGTCTAAAGTAAGACTTTGTGCTGTGTCCATTTATTTCTTAGGCCCATGGTACCATCAGTCGAACACTTTCACAACACCAACAACTGGGCCATAGGTTTTATCAATGCGTTTGATTTCATTTTGGAGATTTAAGCAGTATTAGATTTTAGCATTGGTTAAATTCATTTTTGACCTATACAGAATTCGAGTTATACAGAATTCTCTAGTCAGAACAGACGGAATCAAAACATTCAAACGGCATATTAAAATATATGTATGTAAGTGGTGTGACGGAGTGAATCGTCACGCCATCTCTGAATAATTTCCCCCCGACCGGTGCTGAGTGCGGACCGCGGTAATGTAGGTGCCGAGCTGCCAAGTGACCCACTAGTAGAAAAGAAAGTGTGTCGCTTGGCAAGTTAGTTCGGTAGTGCGAGGTCAGGACCAGCGAGTAGGTGAGAGAGAGATAGGAGGAGTGCCAAGAGAAGCGGAAAGAGAGAGAAGGAAGCTAGGAAGAAGACGAGGCAACAGGTGAAAGAAAGCGTCGGTGTCTTGACAATACTTTTGCCACCATTATTGCTTTAGCACGTGCTGAACTACTTTTGTCGCGCTTCGTATTAGAGAAACGTACGCGAGTAATTTCTTTCTTTTTGTATGAAAGGTGAGAATATTTTGAGAAAGTGGTTGAGAGTAATTTGAAATTTGTAGAGATTTAGAGCGGAATACAAAGTGTTGTGATTAATTTTGAGAAATAGGTGTAGATTAAAAATAAAGAGAATATTTTTGTGAAGTGAAATTATTTGGAGTTCATTTTTGTTCCGGTGAGACCTTCCCTTACAACACCCTAGAGCTTCGCCAGGAGCCGAGTTTCACCGGGTGCTGAACTACAAATCATCGTGGGTAAGTCCCACCAATATTGTGCCAGTCTTGGTCCAGTCGTGTCCCAGCGTTGGCGTTTCTGTCGTCATTTTCTCGGACAGAATTCCCTCATGAGAGTGAGAGTGTCTCTGAGGTTTTGCTAGCCGTTTTGATTGTTGTTCATGTAATTGTGTCTAAAGTTTATTAATTAATCTTAAAATTAATTGGCGCCTGATGGCGAATTTTTAAATAATATAAAAATTCCATAGAATTAAAATTGAGCGTCAGGTTTCTTGATGTTACAGAAAATTCTTTATCAATATTTCTTTATTAAATTAGAATTAACGTCATAAAAATTGGCGCCCAACGTGGAGCCAAGTCCGAGCCAAGAGACACGACTGAGACACATAAATTGGCATATTAAATTTTTACATTTATACTTCTTTGAGTGCCAGAATTATTGCACCATGTTTTTCCCTGTGTCAGCCATGTTGTAATTGTCTGCCGGAATTTTGAAATTTTCTTATCGCCAGAGTCAGTATTTTAATATTGACAATAGCCAGAAAATTAAAAATTTAAATTGCCAGAGTGATAAAATTTTATTTTGCCGGAGAAAATATTTTTTTTTGTTGTTTGCCAGTGCCAGACAAAATTTTTCTATGAAAGTCATAGGCAATTAACTGCCACATTTTCCCCATTGAAGACGAAATAAAAGTGTAGCGTCCTTCTTGCCATGTGTGAGTAAATTTTCTTTGTCGCGAGAAATTTCACCGTAATGCCGTAGCCGTAGTTAAAAACCCTGAAATAAATTTAAATTTAATCTTCTCTAAAATTGCCAGAAACCAGTGCCGTGAAAATTATAGAATAAAATTCCTAAAGAAATCTTGGGAATAGTACGGGAAAAATTGTAAAACTCAAAAATTTCTTTAAAATTTCGCTTTAAGCACATGTTCAACCGGAAATAAAATTCGAATTCGTCACGTGACTGGGAATAGTGCGCCGGACGGTCAGGAAAATCGACGCGCCGGTACATTTAAAATTTTCAACAGCGAAAGAGAAAGGTTGCGCGCGCGACGGGCAAGAGAATTAGATTAGTAGTAGTAGTAGCGACGGAAGAAAGAGAGAGAACGAGCGGTAGAGAAAGAGAGGAGAGAAAGCATCGAGTCGTGAGTCAGCCAGAAAAATTTAAATTTGAACAAGGGGCCCTCGAGTGTAATACTTTACTGCACATTCAAGGTCATTCAGGGCCGTGTATACAAAGGGGGTTTTGATTTAATTCAATTAAAATTTTTTTTTGTTTTTCAAAATTTTTTTTTGATGGCGAAAGCGATCGCCGAAATGGACAATTACGTGACACGAATGAGGGAATTAATAGAGATTCCAGAAGCCAGACAAATCTGGAATAGAATAGTTCAGATGCAACCCGGCCAGGTAGTAACAACCCTTTATCAACAAAACTTGTCAATAGCCGGTACCGTGCCAGTGTTGCGAGAGAGACTACTCAGGGTTGAGTTAAGATTATCATTCCCTCCAGAACTCAATGTTCCCTTTAGCCAGCAGTATGACTCGGGAACTTCTGCCAAGATCTTCCTTCTGGAAGCCCTGCCAGAGCCCTATGAAGAATATTATCGAAATGTCACGACGAAAAGAGGGGGTGACGTCTCATCGAGTGAAGAGACAGAGAGCGATGAAAGAGGGACAAGCCATCGGTCAAAGAGAACAGGGAAAGAAAACCAAAGTAAGGGGGGAGGCAATGGAAACCTGGGGAGGGGAGAGTCGCACAGTAGAAATTTTCCGACCATCAACTTACCCATGGCCCAGTACACACCGCCAACGCTAACTAATACCACAGCTAGCATGTCAACGGTCTCCCCCACCACTTCAGTAGCACAGTTAAGTACTACCACATGTGTAATAACAACAGCACCCCAAACAATAATATCCGCGACCATGGCGCCGAGTATGACAGAACTAAGGGCCTCTAGTATGAAATTAAACCTCTCACCAGAAATGCGTCGTTTATTAAACTTAGCGAAGGATTTAGATCACCAAACGACACAAAACTGGGAATTTAGACAAAGCCAATGTCGGACTGAAGTGGGCCAAACCTACGGGATGACCCATTTGCAAGAGACCAGATTTTCATCCCCACTACACAAAGCCAAACCATCCGCAGAAGGCAAAGAAAATTATTATACACATAGAAACGTAGTGCCGGAAAGAGTCCCCAGTAATAGTGACAGAGTCAGTGTGCCAGAGTTGAGCGATAGTGTCAGAAGTAGAGATAGCGAAAGAAGTAAAAAGTCAAGGAATAGTAGGCAAAGAAAAATAAAGAGTGAGGATGAGGAAGAACAAGGGTCTTCAGTAAGGAAAAGTAGAAATAGGGCAAGCAGTAAAGAAAAATATAGAGAGAGAGAAAGAAAAAGAGAGAGGGGGGGAGATAAAACTAACAGTAAAAATAGGACACCCCCCCACCGAGAGCCGTGGAGATACGATAGTTGTAAGTCACTTATCGACGACTCAGTGAGCGAGTCGGACACAGAGAGTGACAGTAGTCAGAGCCGGACAAGCCAGACAGAGAGGAGGAGAAATCATACTAAATTGGAGAGAAGATCGAAAGTGACCAAGATTCTTAAAGATTGGGACCTAACATTTGCCGGAAGCGAAGATGAAGATGCCGAATATTTCTTGGAAAGGTTAGAAGACTGCAAGTCTTGCTCCGCCCTTTCAAATGAAGAAATGTTGCAGGTTCTTCCCATCATCCTAAAGAAGAGTGCCAGTAGTTGGTTTCGTTCACTGCGAAGAGAGATTAAGTCATGGAAAGCGTTTAAAAAGGCTTTCAAAAACGAGTACTTAGTCTCACTAGATGACGATGACGTCATCGACGAGTTGAGAAGCCGGACACAAGGAGAAGGGGAGAAAATTTCTCCATATCTTACGAGCCTTCGATTCATCATAGGACACATGAAACGCCCCCTGGAGAGGAGCCAACAAGTCAAGATGGCGTACAAGGGCCTCACGCCAGAATACCGGAGACAATTAGACCGCCTCTATTTCGACTCTATGAGCCAGATGGAGAAAATTCTCCGAAATTATGAGAAAGCCAGGGAACTAGACAAGAGATATGTACCCCCACCACCCAAAGACAACATGCGTTTCCCGGCCGCAGCGTGTAAAGAGACGAGGACAGAAGATAAAACATGCAGAAAAAAAGGTGACAAGAGTGAAAAGGTAGCGGCCTTAGAGAACGAGTCAGAGCCAGAGTCAAGTGAGAGTGAACACCCTACTAAAGAGAAGAGCAAAAAGAAAAATAAGAGTAAGAAGGACAAGACGAAGTCAAAAGAGAAAAGCGTCAACACGGTAAAGGAAACCACGCCGCCTAAGAAAAAAGAGACGTCGAAGAAGAAGGGATCCGAACAACCCCCAAAACAAAACCCAGTAGTGCCAGACAACGTAGTTTCTTCAACCACCTTCGCCGAAGTAATTGCGGCAATAGGAAAACAATTTCTTCCACAACAGTCCGGAATTAAAAATCCAAATTGCGGTCAAGGAGTGCAGCAAAACCCTCTGCCAGCGCAACCGAGCCAGAAACAATTCGTAGGAGCTTGTTTTCACTGCCAGTTGGTAGGACACCGATCTTTCGAATGTCCTCAAAGGGTTTGTTTTACCTGCAGACAAATAGGACATTACTCTAAACAATGCCCATTAAAACCAGCACAGATAGAGTCATGCATATTATGTAAGACTCAAGGTGTGACATTTTTAACATGCCAAAATTGTGCCGGTATTAGAACCATCTTGGGAAACGGTGGCGGGGGGGCACAGAACGAGCTTGTACCCCCCTCCAACTCAACCGGAAATTAGACGATACAAAAACAGAACATTGCGCGCCAAAACCGGAAACAAGAGCCAGGTTGGAAGAGAAGAGAGTGCCTGAGAAGAATAAAAAGAGAGAAGAGTACCCAATTAACCATGGTGCGACTTGTAGTTGGGTAAAAACAGAAAGAGAGTTAGAGTTAGAGAGTGAAAGAGAAACACTCAAGAAAGAAATAGAGAATAGAGTTAGATTAGGGTCAAAATTAGGTAGAGACGAATTGAATGAAGAGAATTCTTTTAAATTTGGGTCAGAAACGTTCCGGATAGAATCAAGTGAGAGAAGCTCACTCCATCAGAGTTTAGGAACAAATTCGGGAGTAGGGTGTAGTACTAAAGGTACAAGTGAAGTACCAATAGTCCTAGGGAGGGAAAGAGCTGTGACGAGCACAGCTGACACTACCCCAAAACCAGAAAAGAACATATGTGCCTCGAGAACAGAAAATCGGTTTTTCTTTAAAATGTTTATCGGGAATCAACCATATGAAGCACTTTTCGACTCAGGTGCCATGATTTCAGCAATCAGTACTCGAGTCGCTGAACCCTACAAAAACCGGATACAACCTTGCGAAACGGCCATAAGGAGTGCAATCGGAGGTACGACCGAAACAGCCGGACTCTTGAACTTATCGATAACTGTCGATGGCCATGCGAAGAAGTTCGGAGTCAAGGTGATCAAAGCCCTGACCCAAGATATTATGCTGGGGATCGATTTTTGCAAAGTGTGGCAAATGGAAGTCGACCTTGGAAAAGGACTATGGAGAGTCTGTGGAAGAGATTGGCATGAATTTGGAGTGTGCCAAGAGAGAGATGGTGAAGAGCTGATCTTCGCAGAATGTGCCGGAATCTCTGCACTCGACGACGAACAAAAGATGACCATCCAAGCCCTAGTGGACAGATGGGTACTACCCGAGTCAGAAAAACACGGAATGACGGACCTAACGGAACATCACATTCGTGTGATTAATGAAACACCAGTACAACATGCCGTCAGACGTATGTCGCCAATTATGCTAACATGGGCCCAAGAGAACGCAGCCAAGTTATATAAACTAGGAATAATCGAGCCATCTGCTAGCCGTTGGAGGAGCGCGCCGGTAATCACCAGAAGAGGAGAGAACGATTTTCGACAATGCAATGACTATAGAGATGTCAACAAAGTCACCATAAAAGATGGGTATCCATTACCATCGATAGACTACATATTGGATAAACTTCGAAAAGCCAGGTATTTGTCGAAAATTGACCTCAAACTGGCCTACCACCAGATTCCAATGGCCAACGAGAGCAAAAAGTATACAGCTTTCGCCATCCCGGGGTCAGGACTATGGCAATTTTGTCGGATGCCGTTCGGACTTATGAACGCGCCGATGACATTTCAACGAATGATCGACGCGTTGCTTGGGCCAGAAGTAGAGCCGCACGTCTTCGGATACCTCGATGACATAATAGTAGTCACTGAGACATTCGAAGAACACGTCAAATGGCTTGAATTAGTCCTACAGAAATTGAACGAGGCTAAATTGTTGGTAAACCCGGATAAGTGTGAGTTCGGTTGTTCCGAAGTCACTTATTTGGGTTACTTACTAGACAGCGAGGGTCTGAGGCCAGACCCGAAGAAGCATTTGAGGAGCTTAAAGAGAAGCTCACTTCAGCGCCGGTCCTAGCTCGCCCAGACTTCAGCCAGCAATTCACAATTCAATGTGATGCGAGCAGTTATGCCGTCGGAGCCGTGTTGACACAAGAATTTGAAGATGGTGAACATCCTATCATGTACATCAGCCGAGTGTTGTCAGAAGCCGAGAAAAACTATAGCGTGACGGAAAAAGAGTGCCTAGCGTTGTTATGGTCGATCAAAAAGTTCAGACCGTATATCGAGGGGTACAAATTTAAAGTGATTACCGATCATAGTGCCCTGAGATGGCTCAGAAACTTAAAAGACCCGACAGGCCGTCTAGCCAGATGGGCCTTGGAAATGCAACAATGGGACTTCGACATCATACATAGGAAAGGGGCCCAACACCACGTGCCGGATGCATTGTCCAGGATGCAAGAGAACGAAGAAGAAGACGTGTCCGCGTTTGACTCCATCGAGGATCGATGGTACCTCAAACGCCGAGAGATGGTGAGCCAATACCCTCAACGTTTCCCAGGGTGGACCGTGGAAAACGATAACCTTTATCGCCATAGAACCGATCCCTTGCTTGTGCCGATAATTGGAGATGAGGATGGTTGGAAATTAGTTGTGCCCGAAGAACACCGAGAACGTGCCATGAACGACGCACATGCGCAAGCGTCAGCCGGACACCTGGGTGTTGAGAAAACTTACGACCGTCTAGCCAGAGAATACTACTGGCCAGGAATTTTGAACGATGTCCACCACTATGTGACTCATTGTAAACAATGCCAGGTACATAAAGTCTCTCAAGCCGGACCAGTCGGATTGATGGGCCAGAGGATTGTCGAGAGACCATGGTCAGTAGTAGCCGCGGATACTATGGAATTTCCTCCTAGTAAAAGCCGTTGCAAGTACTTGGTCGTGTTCCAAGACTTGTTTTCCCGATGGATCGAGGTAAAACCACTAAGGTCAGCAGACGGGAAATCAATAGCCAGAGCCTTCGAAGAGTTAATATTGTTTCGCTGGGAGACGCCGGAGTACCTATTGACAGATAATGGTAAAGAGTTTGACAATAAATTCCTCAAAGGTACCTTAGAAGAATATGGTGTCAAACATATCACTACGCCACCGTACCATCCACAGGCCAACCCAGTCGAGAGAAGCAATAGGACGCTGAAAACGATGATTTCCACCTTCATTGGCCAGGACCATCGAGATTGGGATCTGCACATCCATGAGTTTCGCCATGCCGTGAATACTGCGGCGCAAGCTGCTACCAAGACATCGCCTGCGTTTCTTAACTTTGGCAGACACCCCAAACCAGTCAAGAGTCTGCGGCGAGAAGTCGAGAGGAGAAAGAGAGTCGTGAAAATCGAGCCGGAAGTCTGGATAGATCGAGTAAAAAGACTAGACGCACTGAGAGACATAGTTGCCAGGCTAATCGATAAAGAGCGTGATAGACAAACGAGATATTATAATAAGGGCCGGAAAGATACGGTATATCAAGTAGGTGACTTAGTGTTGCGAAGAACACATAAATTATCAAGCGGTGTGAACAAATTCGCGACCAAGCTTGCGCCAAAATACGAAGGCCCATTCGAAGTGGTAGAAATATTATCGCCAACGGTATACATGTTACAAGCCGGAAAAAGCCGTAGAATCCCTAAAGTGCATGTAACTGACCTCAAACGATATTTACCCCCCACAAACATAAATAACTAATTGTAATTCTTATTTGTAGACGGAGGTGTGTACCAGTGCCGGAGCCGGAATTCTAGGAAGAGAAAGATGCCATATTCAAAGAAAGGTACCAGAGGAGAGTCACGGCCTAGACACCGGCCATCGTCAGAGTTTAACCCAGTTGACAATAACGGATCGAGGCCAAGGACGAGTCGGACAGTGCCAGTGCGCAGAACCTTCGTAGAGGACCAACCAAGATATGAGGAGCGAGAGAGACCATCCCTTTTAAGCTTCCCTATCACGGAAACGGTGCGTCAGACACCAATTGTGCCGGAAAAGAAGAAAGAACGTGTGGAGGAGACCCACACCAAGTGCCAGAAGGAAAGAGAAGGGAGTAATGACAAAATAGGAGAAGAGGAAGGAGCCGTCGGAGGGGTTTTAGAGCCGATTATCCCGGTCGACCAATGGGACGACATAGCTAGCCTTGAGAGAAAAAGGGAACCCAAGATGAACCCAAATGTAGAGATCGTCGTGCCATATCGTTGGCCACTACAACGAAAGAAGGGAGAGAGCAAGGAGGCTTTTCACAGTCGGTTAGCCGAGGAAGACTTAGAGAGATTCCTCAGACAAATGGATAAACCGACATCCTCAAAACTAGAAGATCTCCGTTATAAGCAGAGACAGGTTCTAAAGGAACGTTCCGGTGGTGTTTTACGAAAAGAGGATATAGAAAGTAGGCACCCGACGCCCCAGCGACCTCGTTCTCACACGCCACCAGGACCACCCAATCGTCCAATGGAAACTGGCGCTGTGAGAAAAGAACGTTCCGGAAAGCCAAGACGAGAAGAACCAACCCGACCCTTAAAAGTAAAGACAAGAGGAGTTATGTTCGGAGGACTTAAAGAGATCCCAACTGATGTAGATCTCGACCCTCCTCCGTATTCATGCTTCAATTGTTGGCAAAGAGGTCACGCAGCGAACTTTTGCCCAAGCACCATAAAAAGGACTTACTGTTTAAATTGTGGCCGACGACGAGTGTCAGTACATAACTGCCCCCGTTGTAGCGAACAAGCAAAACGGTATATATGGGAGGACGAAATGGAAGAAAGAGACGAGAGACTAGAAAAGAGGAGAGAAGAAACGGAAGAGCTGACGAGAGAAATTGAGCTGGAAAACGAGATGATAGTCGGGGGGGACGAGGAACCCGAGAACACTGAGGCCGAGAAGAAACCAGCCGAGAAGGAGAAAGCGGAAAGAGAAGCCAAACCGGAGAAAGAGATGATACAAGAGCCAGAAGCCGATGACGATTTGGTAGAAAAGTTGCTCAAACTGACCAAAGCGTTTGAGGGGCTACCAGCGTCAACTTTGGATTTGGCAATCCGTCAACTTCTAGAGGAGAGAAAACGGGCGAGGAAGTAAGAAGACCAAAAAGGTGTGCCAGGTAGAGAATTAGTCGTGCCAGGTAGAGAATTAGTCGTGCCAGATGAAGATTTGTTCGTGCCAGGAAGGATAAATAGAAATTGCCAGAAATGAGCCAGACAGTGGCCGAAGATTTGGTTACTGACGGTCCTACAAGGAGTAGTACCGGTCATGGGGGGGGATTGTGACGGAGTAAATCGTCACGCCATCTCTGAATAATTTCCCCCCGACCGGTGCTGAGTGCGGACCGCGGTAATGTAGGTGCCGAGCTGCCAAGTGACCCACTAGTAGAAAAGAAAGTGTGTCGCTTGGCAAGTTAGTTCGGTAGTGCGAGGTCAGGACCAGCGAGTAGGTGAGAGAGAGATAGGAGGAGTGCCAAGAGAAGCGGAAAGAGAGAGAAGGAAGCTAGGAAGAAGACGAGGCAACAGGTGAAAGAAAGCGTCGGTGTCTTGACAATACTTTTGCCACCATTATTGCTTTAGCACGTGCTGAACTACTTTTGTCGCGCTTCGTATTAGAGAAACGTACGCGAGTAATTTCTTTCTTTTTGTATGAAAGGTGAGAATATTTTGAGAAAGTGGTTGAGAGTAATTTAAAATTTGTAGAGATTTAGAGCGGAATACAAAGTGTTGTGATTAATTTTGAGAAATAGGTGTAGATTAAAAATAAAGAGAATATTTTTGTGAAGTGAAATTATTTGGAGTTCATTTTTGTTCCGGTGAGACCTTCCCTTACAACACCCTAGAGCGTCGCCAGGAGCCGAGTTTCACCGGGTGCTGAACTACAAATCATCGTGGGTAAGTCCCACCAATATTGTGCCAGTCTTGGTCCAGTCGTGTCCCAGCGTTGGCGTTTCTGTCGTCATTTTCTCGGACAGAATTCCCTCATGAGAGTGAGAGTGTCTCTGAGGTTTTGCTAGCCGTTTTGATTGTTGTTCATGTAATTGTGTCTAAAGTTTATTAATTAATCTTAAAATTAATTGGCGCCTGATGGCGAATTTTTAAATAATATAAAAATTCCATAGAATTAAAATAGAGCGTCAGGTTTCTTGATGTTACAGAAAATTCTTTATCAATATTTCTTTATTAAATTAGAATTAACGTCATAGTGGTTACAACCCGAAGTGAAATAATAATTTTTAATTGTTTTTTAAACACTTTTAGTTTGCAAAAGAAGGGTTAAAATAGTAAAAAGTCAACCATTGTGATATTTTTCAATAAAAATTTTTTATTTTACTTCCGACTATAACCACTTACTTATATTTTAATATGCCGTTTGAATTTTTTGATTCGCTATTAACAACAAAAAATATAGAAACAAATTTTCTTATTTAATGTAATACTGCCCCCTTAAGAGTAAACACGTTATAGCTGTACTTACAGTTCACACTTGTTTTAAAACGTATTTTAAGACTTTGTTTTAACAGGGCAGAATGCTGGCCAACGAAATTCATTTTTTTCGAAAACGTCATTTTAATATAGCTAATATCTCAGAAAGTTATTGATAATTTTTTTTAAAATTAAAGCCTTATATACACTTCCGGCGGAAATTGTGCGACCGCTAACACATCGATCTATTAAAAAAAACAGCCGCACAAAAAACGTGCACTTTAGTAAGTCTTCCTCTATCACCCCGACCTGAAATATTTTATGCTCACAAGATAAGTATTTTCCAAAACACCTTTTTTCGAATGTTTTTAAACAATTTTATTTTTGTTATTATTCTTTGTTCACCTGCCATTAATTTGACAGATTTATTTTAATTTATTATGTGCGGGGTTCTTTAATTTGAAGAATCATTAAAAATATTTCCATTTGTATAAATTGAGGGACCGGATGTATCAACTGAGCAGTAAGAGACCCAGAGGCGCTCACTGCTCACTGACTGGTATAGTCCTTTACGATGGCGCGTAGCGGCAGTTGATACATTGCCCCTCAATATGACTACCAAAAATGTTAACGAAACTCCAAAAATAGTGGAACTTTTATTTGACGATATACATGATGTAGAAGAAAATACCATATATCAAGTAATATATAATATAATATAATAATAATAATAATAATATATTATAATAATAATTATTATTAATAATAATTAATTATTATTAAGATAATTAAGATAATTAAGATAATTAATAATAATAATAATAATAGATAATAAGATAATAGATAATTAATAATAAATAATAGATAATAGATAATAAATAATAATAATAATAATAATAATAATAATAATAATAATAATAATAATAATAGATAATAATAATAATAGATAATAATAATAATAGATAATAGATAATAGATAATTAATTAATTAATTAAGATAATTATTATTATTATAATATATAATATATAATATATAATATAATAGTTCTCACAACGTTCAGAGGTTGCGCCTCTGTGGTGGAAATTTGGTATTAAAATATCGTCTGCTTAAAATATCGTCTGCTATAATACCATATATCGAGGTGTGTAATATTTATTTGTTAAATAATAAATAAAAAATATCTAATGAGAGAATGCTTAAAGGCGATAAGCGCCATATTTAATAAATGAAGCGTATTATTTATTAGCACCAACCACACAGTTAAAAGCATTTGAACTATTATAAACGCTAAAAAAAGTTCTGCTAAAGTAGAGATAACAATCACTATAATAGCTATAAGTTTCGCTGATTTGGCTCCATCGATAATCCATTTTTGCAGATCCAGCGAAAATGATATTTCTTGCGTTACCTTCTGAAAACAACACAATCTCAAAAAAACACTTGAATGAAAATATTCACGAAGTAGTATAAGGAAACCTCACGCGGGTTTAAAATCAGCCTGCATTTGGGGGATCAGAGTTATGAGAGTTCTCACAACGTTCAGAGGTTGCGCCTCTGTGGTGGAAATTTGGTATTAAAATATCGTCTGGGTAAGACTCCGTCAGAAAAAAAGCGATTTGCAAGTGGTCTTCCGATTTCTTTGAAAGCTTGGGAAATAGAAGTCTTATATGAGTTAAATTTAACCCTAAAAGGATTTTGAAAAATTTTTAAAATGGCGGCCGCTACGCCATATTGAAAATGAGTGTTGCGCTTTTTTCAAAAATTAATAACTCTGAAACTTTTTGATCGATTTTAATAAAATTTACAGGCGATATAGTTAAAAATACGTAGTTTAATTTTATATTATGACCAAAAAAAAATTTCCAAAATTTGTCAAAAAAAAAGTCAAAAAAATTTTTTGAATTAGTTTTTAGTTCAGTTGGCCTAATTTTTGAATTTTTTAATAAGTAGATATCGATTCCTTGTAATTTCACCTTTCATTTCATAAAAAAAAATTTATGGAGACTCTAATAGTTCTCGAGATATTGCGATTTTAGTGGGAGCGCGTACCGCGGAATTAAACTCCGTAGCGAGGCAGAATATGAAGCGAGCGTACAAACGTGCACAATAGGGTGTCCGTAACAATGCGACTTTCGAATTTTGTTTACGCCACCCCCCAGTTTCGTTCCAATAAAATAAAAAAAAGTTTCCCAAAATTTGAAGTCGATTGATTAATATTAACACGTGCCAGTGATCGATCGAAATTTTCAATTAAAAATACACAGGAAAACTGCACTTTTTAAAAAAAATTCATAAGTTTTTTAATTCTCATGCAAAAAATTCTCCAGGTCACATTTGCCTTCATTTTTAGCTGCACTATAAGATAGCACTTTGCCAAAAATTCAATTTTCAAAAAATTTTTAAATGGCGGATGTTTAAAGTGGGTCATAAAAATGCACCACAATATATCCAAGGTTTTAACACATAATTGTTGTCAAAAATTCAAAAAATTTCTCACTCGGAGCTATTTACGATCGTTTATCATGAATCTGATATCAGAAATTAATTTTTGAAAATTTTCGATCCAATATGGCGGGTTTAAAATTTTATTTTCTACATTTTTGAAGTAAATATTCTAAAACAACGTCAAGGGCGATTTTTGGAAGCGCTATCTACGAATCTAATGTTAAAATTTTATTTTCTAAATTACCCGATCTAATATGGCAAGGTGGATTCAAATTTTTTTTAAAATATTCCTTTAATAATCGATTTTAAAAGCAGAGGTATAAAAAGTTAAATTTCTAAAAAAGAGTTTCTAAAACATCCCAATAATTATTTTTTGTAACTATTAATCTATAAATTAATATTTAGACTATTTACTTCAAAAATGTAGAAAATCATAATTTTGAATCCGACATATTGGATCGGATAATTTAAAAAATAAAATTTTAACATTAGATTCGTAGATAGCACATCCAAAAATCGCCCTTGACGTTGTTGTAGAATATTTACTTCAAAAATGTAGAAAATCAAAATTTTAAACCCGCCATATTGGATCGAAAATTTTGAAAAATTAATTTCTGATATCAGATTCATGATAAACGATCGAAAATAGCCCCGAGTAAGAAATTTTTTTGAATTTTTGACAACACTTATGTGTTAAAACCTTGGATATATTGTGGTGCATTTTTATGACCCACTTTAAACATCCGCCATTTAAAATTTTTTTGAAAATTGAATTTTTGGCAAAGTGCTATCTTATAGTGCAGCTAAAAATGAAGGCAAATGTGACCTGGAGAATTTTTTGCATGAGAATTAAAAAACTTATGAATTTTTTTTAAAAAGTGCAGTTTTCCTGTGTATTTTTAATTGAAAATTTCGATCGATCACTGGCACGTGTTAATATTAATCAATCGGCTTCAAATTTTAGGAAATTTTTTTTTATTTTATTGGAACGAAACTGGGGGGTGGCGTAAACAAAATTCGAAAGTCGCATTGTTACGGATACCCTATTGTGCACGTTTGTACGCTCGCTTCATATTCCGCCTCGCTACGTAGTTTAATTCCGCGGTACGCGCTCCCACTAAAGTCGCAATATCTCGAGAACTATTAGAGTCTCCATAAATTTTTTTTTATGAAATGAAAGGTGAAATTACAAGGAATCGATATCTACTTATTAGAAAATTCAAAAATTAGGCCAACTGAACTAAAAACTAATTCAAAAAATTTTTTTGACTTTTTTTTTGACAAATTTTGGAAATTTTTTTTTTGGTCATAATGTAAAATTAAACTACGTATTTTTAACTATACCGCCTGTAAATTTTATTAAAATCGATCAAAAAGTTTCAGAGTTATTAATTTTTGAAAAAAACGCAACACTCATTTTCAATATGGCGTAGCGGCCGCCATTTTGAAAATTTTTCAAAATCCTTTTAGGGTTTAATTTAACTCATATAAGACTTCTATTTCCCAAGCTTTCAAAGAAATTGGAAGACCACTTGCAAATCGCTTTTTTTCTGACGGAGTCTTACCCCGTCTGCTTAAAATATCGTCTGCTAAATATCGTCTGCTGTACTTTACATTTTCTCCGCATGAGCGCGCTGCCTCTGAACGTTGTGCAGATTATATTTTCTCATAGTAACTCTGATCCCCCAAAATGATGCTGATTTTTGCCACTATAACTATTGGCGTTGGGTCTTCTTATACTACTTCATGAAAATATTTTTAAAGTAATGGTCAAAGCGTATATTCAAATTCTATTGATTATATTTTTTATATTATAACTAATAAAATGTAAAATTAGTAAATTAATACGTATTTAGAGGTAAGAAATGTAAATTTGACACTTATGATTTTAGAGAAATAACTCATAACATTATTTAAATTTTCAGAGTGAAATGGAAGACGATTTTTTAATGACGCCTGAAGAAGATACATTAATGGACGATAAATTAGAAATTCCTGACGATAACGAAAATTTATTTAAAAATTGCTTCTCATCTCTAGACGACATGGTTAATAACGAAAAAATTATGACTCCGATACAAGTACCAGTAGATATATCTGCCGGGGAAATAGTATTGATGATTTTAAAATACGCTATTACTCACGCATTATCATTAATACAAATTACAGACTTATTCAAATTAATTAATTGTATCTTCTCTTTCGATTTATTGTTCAGTTTGTAAATCAAAAATTAATATTAAAGATTATAAATATAAAGAATTTTTTGTAACAATGGATGCATCGGAACATATCTCTAAATTAATTGAATATAACAGTACTTATTATAGACATGTAATTAATAATAGAGTGCATAAAAATGGTTTTGTAAGTGATGTTTATAATAGAAAATTGTACAGAAATTTTGTTAAAAGTTTAAGTGATAATGATAGATATAAATATGTCACCACCGCTTTTAACACAGACGGGGCACCATTATTTACTAGTTCCACATACTCAATTTAGCCAATATTTCTAATGCTGAATGAACTGCCATTTCATATTAGGACAAAAAATTTAGTTCTAGTTGGCCTCTGGGTTGGGAAAGACAAACCCGATATGAATGTTTTTCTCAAACCATTTGTTCGGCAAATGAACAGACTTTCAACACCTGGCGTTAAATGCAATTTAGAAAGAGAAGAAGTTGTCATTAAATGTTTTACACTGATTTCATGTGTTGATTCAGTAGCTCGCGCTCCAATGATGGGATTTATATTATTCAATGGGTGTTATGGATGTCCTCAATGCCTTCATCCTGGGGAGTGGGTAGAAAATAAAAATACCCCAAAAAAACGCTATGGATGTATTAAATATGTTTTGCAAAATAAAATACCTGAAAGCAGAACAAATGAAAAAACTATTGAACACATGCAATCAGCAATTAATTTAGGAAAAACGGTCTTTGGTGTAAAAAACTCGTCTCAATTAATTAATTTAAATTTATTCAATTTTATAAAAGGATGTGTATTTGATAGCATGCATTGTCTTCCCGGAGTAGCAAAGTTGTTTGCTACAATGTGGTTCGGCAATATCAAAAAGTGCGGTTTAATTCCCAAAAGCATAGTCGCTACAATTGATAAGGCTTTAGAAATGATTGGGGTACAAAAATGCCAAAAAAAAATTGCCAATCCAAAATGGCCAAGAAAAATATCCAAAATTTGAAAGTTCCAAAGTATATTTTTTCCAAAATACAAAATTTCCAAAGTATATTTTTTCCAAAATACAAAATTCCCAAAGTATATTTTTTCCAAAAATAAACTTCCAAAGGAAAGAATTTCCAAAAATTAAAAAAATTTCCAAAATACTAAAGTTTTTAAAAGAGTGGTAAAATATAACTAAATAGAACATAAAAGATTGTGATTAAAAATGTATATGGTAGCCGATGGCTTTCAAGTATCCTAAAATGTTATTACCTTGAAGATGAGTTTCATAAGAGTTGACAATATTGAAAATTCGGTCTTCCATCATCTGTCTTTTTTTATCCCGGGATTTTTTAATTTTTTGTCCAATCGAAAGCTGTCTTAACATTGAGTCGGTGTCTCCTTGTTCCTTCTGCAGTTCAGAACAAAATGCGTACAAACTCGGATGATCACGCCCTGTTACTATTCGAAATCGATTATGCCAACCTTCTGAGGCATTATTCGTTCGTGACATATTTTGCAGAACGGCATCATATTGATTTCAAAGTTTTGGAGGGTTGCGTACACTTACTGCCTTTCTTCTCCCTCGAGCTGCTCTGCCGCGAACATATGTAACCTTTAAAATGCAATTATGACAAAGTCTTAAATAATTAAAATTCTATTTTTAATATTTTTGTTTATTTTTTAATACTTTTTACCTCAAAATAATCAGCTACATGGACAAAATCTTCTGGGACATCATCTATGAGATTATCAAAGAATTCAGGAACTCTATTTGGCGGAACGAATGCCAAAGCACACATCATCTGCATTGCTTGCTTGATACTTCGATCATTTTCATCATTGTATTTTTGTTGTAATCCTTCATTCTGTACTCTTCGGAAGATGCTTTGGCACAAGTGAAAGAAACAACAACGAACAATTTTTCCGAAAATGTCTTCAGCAGCATTAACAATGGCAATTTCGAAATCTGACATTATAATTTGCGGCAGAATGAAATGAATATTAAATTTTTGAATTAATTCTTGCGTAACTTGGAAAACTTTTGAGTAAGCTGCCTGCTCTTTGCTTTCAAGAAGCGCATATACAAAGGGAAGAGCAACAGTTTCTTGAATACCTTTGTTTACTTGAATCACTGATCCCATAATGGCAAATAATTGAAAAAAGATTACCGGAGATGTTTTAAAAGTACCGTCTACATACCAAATTTGAGATTTTGCTAAAGTTTTCAAATTTTCCTGAGTACAAAATATTAGATTTCGGCCACAGCTTAAATTGTAATCCTCATCTTCATAAGAATCATATTGTAAAAAAGTGTCTCCGGCAACCGTTTTTCTATATTTATCCGGAATTTCGCGCAAATCTTCCATATCTTGAGGGTTGGACGGCATGTCTCTTAACCGTTCACGCTGTATGCATTTTCTTATATTTTGGCGATCTGGCAGTTCTGCCAAAACTGCTGAAGGCACCTCATGTAAACAAGAACGCAAAATTTGAGCCGGTGGTATTTCCGGATGTTCACTGGCATCATTTTTGACATCGGCAATAACCTTTAAAGCATTAACTTTTTCGCGATTCGGAGCATGAGTGTGATCCTCAGGTTTACACCCTTTCCGTATCGTTACAGCTTCCCCAATAGTAACTGTTACAGCACGAGCGTCACATTCGGATGTATTCTGACATCTCCAATATTTGACGGAGGGTTTTCCATTGGAGTGTTTGTAATATAGAAAGCCATCAGCATGTAAAAAAGTTTTTTTTTCCAACGTGTAATAATTCTGCCATTTTTTACAAAATATTTATATACTGACAATTTAATTTAATGAGCCGAAAATTCAAAAAACTGTTAACAGAATTGGTATTTCATGCAATACTGACAATTTAATAACAACAAATGAAGCTGCCCACAGCGTGAAGTTGCATCCTTAAAGTTGACTATCAAATTTTTTTGAAAAAAGAACTTTTGGAAAAAATGTTTTTTTGAAAAAAGAACTTTTGGAAAAAATGTTTATTGGAAAAAAGAATTTTTGGAAAAAATGTCCATTGGAAAAATAATAATTTTGGAAATTTGGTATTGGCACTTTTATTTTGGCACTTTTGACTCCAAACCTTAGTAATTATTAAAGCTCCACATCAAATTTGCAGGCTGACACGTTCCTTTTCTGAAAGAGCTTTTTGGAAAGCCCGAGAGTAAGAAAATTGGATCTTATTTTACAGTAGTCCAATTTTACAGACTGTATTGCCTGACAATCTTTTTAGACATTGGACTTTATTTGTCGATGCTATATATATTTTAATGAAAGATGAAATTTCCACTTCCGAAATAGACAGGGCTGATTCACTACTACATGAGTCTGTAGCGCAAACACAAATATTATACAGCAAAACATGTATGACCTTCAGTGTTCATATTCTCCTTCACTTAGCACAAAGCGTTTATGATTGGGGCCCTCTTTGGGCACACAATGCATTCGCATTTGAATCTGGTAATGGGGAATTATTAAAGTTATGTATAACTGTAGAAGAAAATTGGATACGGAATTTATTCTTAACTGAAAGAGCAGCTTCTTATAAGAAAATTGTAAAAAAACAGTTGTTTATATATGTCTGCAGAAAAAAATAATGACAGGTCTGACAACAGTTTTGCATTATTACTTAGTGGTACTTATGTTCAAATAATTAATTTTATAGTGGATTCTATTTCTAAAAAAGAATACGTTGTAGTTAAAATAATTACAACTGTAGATTTTATTGATGAAAACTGTAAAATGATAAAAAAAATTTGAACATTGACAATGAGAACTCTGTCTTTGAAACAAATGAAATTTCAAAAGTTTGCGTACACATGAAAATGGACAATGAATGTGAATATTTATGTGTTGTTCCAAATCTATATCATTATTAAAGTTAATTTTAGAGGTAATGGAGCGTTCAGACCTCTGCAGCCTGTCTGTCTTCCTGCAGGTTGCCATGGTAACGTACAAGAGTAAGAAAGTAAGGAAATTCAAATTTATTACATCTTCTTCCTTACTCTTATTGCTTCTGGCTGCGCAGGCAGACAGCTTGCAAAGGTCTGAATGCTCCTTAACATTGGGTAACGCTGATAGAAATTGTCATTTTTCAATACTTGAGCCCGCGATTGCAATAATAGTAAGTGCGCTCGGTCTGACTTTCCCAACCACAATATCTACTTCAAGGTGGGTAAAAGTGGAGAAAATCTAGTCTCATTATTAGCCAGATCAGGCCGAATTGGTTGAATCACGCAAAAGTGCATCTGCTAGTTGTCATTTGGTGTCAAATGAAATGTTAAATAATCAACTGTAGAATTTTTGGCGAGTGGAGAGTTTGCAAGAACCACGAAAATGGACCGAAGAAGAAATAAAATGCGACATATTTTTTGAAGAGACATTTCAAAGAGAGGAAACTGGACGTTTCGTTGTAAAATTGCCGAAAAAGAGGAAGTCACTCTGGGGGAATCGAGAAAACATGCAGAAATGAGATTGAAGTCGTTGGAGAGAAGATTCAAAAGAGACCCTAAACTAAAAGAAGACTATGCCGCTTTTCTGAAGGACTACGAAGAAAAAGGACATATGCAATTGGTTTGAGAAAAACAAAATGAAGATGAAGAGGTATACTTTATTCCTCATCAACCTGTGTTAAGGCCAGGTAGCATCACAACGGAGTTAAGAGTCGTGTTCGATGCATCAGCATTGACTTCGCTGGGAACGTCCTTGAATCAAAAGTTACAAGCAGGTCCCAATTTACAAACAGACTTATTGGAGATAATTCTTCGGTTTCGTGCGTATCAAGTGGTGATAACAGCTGATATCGCACAAATGTTTAGACAAATTCTTATTGACAAGGAAGATCGAAAACTACAATGCATTCTGTGGAGAGAGGACTCAAACCAAGCTATTCAGACTTTCGAGCTCATGACAGTAACGTATAGCACCACTAGTGCTCCATATTTGGCGATTAGATGCCTACGACAACTGGCAAAGGAGGCAGAAGCAGACTTACCGATTGCAGCACAAGCTCTGAAAAAGGATTGCTACATGGATGACGTTCTAACTGGAGCTAGAACAATACAAGAAGCAAGTAAACTACGCAGTGAATTATCAGAACTTCTTCAACGAGGCCAATTTCAATTAAGGAAGTGAAGAGCTAGTGATCCGCTGGTCTTAGCTGATTTGAATGAACAATGCAAGTCTCAGCAGTTTCTAATCTTGGACGGTCAAGGTCCTCTCAAGACATTGGGATTACGGTGGGATTCCAATAAAGATTGTCTACAGTACCAAGTGGAGTCATTAGATGAACATAAAATAACGAAGAGAAATGTACTATCAAAAGTTGCCCAAGTCTTTGATTCTTTAGGACTTGTTGGACCAGTGTTGATTACAGGAAAGATCATCATGCAGCAGCTGTAGGTAGCAAATCGTGTTACAAAAATACAGGAATTGACAAAATCTGCTACTTGGCGACATACGCCGTCGTTGAGTAATCCAGCCGACATGTTATCCCGAGGAATTGCCGTTCAGGATATTTTGGAAAATTGACAAAAATCAGTGGCCCTCACAGCCTATTACAATTGAGCCAGATTTATCAGAGATGAAAGTGTCTTTGACCGTAACCAAAGAGGAAGATATTTTCTCATTATCATCTAATTATTCCAAGCTTATAAATATTATAGCTTATTGTCTTCGCATTAAAAGGTTTTCTCAACTGTTGAAATCGAATTCTGAAGAAGTCAAGATGTTGAGAAAAGAACGAGTTATTCCACCTCTATCAGTGAAGGAGTTGGAATCAGCTGAGCAAGTTCTAGCAAGGAAATCACAGCAACAGACATTTTCCAAGGAGATTGTAATTATTCAAAGGAAACAAGAATTACATAAACGCTGCCCTCTGACTGGATTGAATCCATTTATAGATGATAAAGGCCTTCTTCGTGTTGGTGGACGCCTTCAACAAGCTAACTTGTCCTATGATCAGAAGCATCCAATTATTTTATCATCATATAATACATTCACAACTCTTTTATTACGACATGAACACGAAAAGTTGCTTCATTGTGGTGCTGTGCAGCTATTGAGCATAGTAAGACAACGATTCTGGATATTGAACGGACGCAGAGCCATTCGCAAGATAATTCAACGATGTCACAAGTGTTTTCGATGCAGACCATAAATGCCTCAGGTCATTATGGGAAACTTACCTGAAGAGAGAGTGAACACGTCAGTCAGACCCAGGCTCGGTCGAGTCCCACGTATTGAAATGACAACAAGTTGCGCCACCTGGACGAAGGACCAGAACTAAACACTCATTTATGTTTGTGTTAGTGCATGTAAATGAAAATTTTACTTCCCCGCGAGTATTTTAATGTTTGAATTTTTATTTTAAAAGAAAGGAATAAAAATAATGTAAAAATCCTTGGAAATAATGAATAAATGTTTTCAATTTATTTTTAAATTATTTTCAACAATTTAAAATTTTACTGATATTTAAATATATATATATAAAACACGGAAAATATTATATTTATAACATTTTTTGTAAAATTATTTATATTTTATCTTAGACTATTAAATGTTCTTCTTTTATGAAGAGAAGAAGCTCTTTTCGCACATGCTTTAATTACTAAATTATTGACAATGTTATTTTTTGATAAGTCAAAAATAATTTTTCCGTTCAAAATACTGTTAACAAAAGTTACTGATTCTATATATTGTTCGATTACAGTGTTCAAAAAAGTCTCCACAGTTTCTTTTTTGTGCACGAAGCAATTTATAAAATCAGAATTAACTTCTTTCGTTAATGTCGGCAACATAATTTTTTTATGTTTATTGCATGGTATTGTGGACTAAAGATCCTTCGGAGGATCGTTTTTATGTCCTCATGTGACTTTTTAAATTTATTATTAAAATGAACTGTAGAATTTCTACATGTTTCGCAATTTATTGAATTTTTTTGTTTTTTAATAAATCTTTTCAGTAAACTAGCAGAAGATGTTGAAACGGAATCTTTTTCAGGAATAGGATCCGTTCTACAGTACTGTAAGTTTACTGTTTTTCCTTTACAAAAGACATTCATCGTCAAATCATTTTGGGAATGATTTTCATTATTAAAAAAATCTTCCCAAGAATGAGCAAAGTTACTCTCATCCTCAGAGCAATTAGTTCCCTCTGAATGACTTTTGCTAAAGGTGTTAATTATTAAAGATTTAAAAAACCCAATAAATTGGAAACATGTAGGTTTATTATTTTGACCAAAATCTCTAATACGTGAAAAAAAATTCTCCAAAGGATCTTGATTTATGTTCTTCGTCTTCAAATGCTTGAAACCAATATTTTTTAGTTTTCCCCATAAAATTTGAAACCCCCTTATCGTTGTTGCCAAATTAATTATTGAAGAAGGTTGGTTTGCAGTCTTCTCCTTTGTCACAGGATTAACAAAACACATTTTCCGCAAATGAGAAATTGCTTCCGTTAAAGGAGTCGGCAATTTTGTTAAAAAAAGAGGTGATCCACGCTGTGTTCGAAGCTTCGTCAGGAATTTGCCGAATACCCAAACTCGTATTTCTAGCTGCAAAATACATTTATTATTTATTTATTTTCACAAGGTATCTTCAAGAGAGAAGAAAGAAGTAAAAAAAAGTTATTTTAAAATGTTATCATTTTTAGTATTACTTTTGAATTTTCGGAAATATATACAGGGTTGTGACAAATATTTAATTTTATTTTTCCCTGACTTTTCCCCTATTTCCAAAAAAAAATGTCACTTTTTCCCTGACTCTAAAGAATATTCTGATTCACTCTAAAAATTAATAGATACTCAAAAAAAATGTTCTATTATATTTATTTACAAATTTCTTTAATTGTAAAATTATTTAAAAACATCAATAACTTCTTTCTTAAATAAATATTTAATCATTATTATTTTTCTGCAGGAATTAAAATTCTTCAAAATATTCAAATTAAAACCTTTTTGAAATTCAACAACTTATAAGATGTAATTATATGGAATTATTTTGAATTGATTTATTAAAAATTGAATAATTGAATTCCTACGATATTTTGACAAGAATTTTATTAAAATTCTTAAATCTAATTGAATTTCGATGAAGAATTTTATTATTTATAAAGATTATTGAAATTTTGATGACAATTTTTTTTTAATTTTTGAACATAATTGAAATTTTGCTAAGAATTTTTGTAACTTTTGAAAATAATTGAATTTCTGTAATCATTTGTAACTTTTCCAAAATACAATCTTTTTTACTATTTTTAACTTAAATTCTTCTATCAATCTAGTATTTATGAAAATTGTAAACATTATTTATAAAATAATTTGTAAGTCATAAATTTATGATAGTTTTTGAAAAATTCAGTTATTTAAAAATAAATTATTGACCAATTTTACTTTCCCTGGCTTTTCCCTGATTTCCCTGACCTGTGGCAACCCTGATATAATTAAAAGTACTGATAATACGACATTTTAAAAAATTAGAAGCTAATTTTCATTTTTAAATTTACGTTTAAAGATTATTCATTACATTTTTTGCTACTTTAAATTACTTTGAAAATTTGCAGTTAAAATTTTTAAAAAGTTGATTATATTTTCTGATGAAATGTTTTATCATTATACCTTTCCCCCCAGCTAGTCCTTCAAGGCGGCTTGAAACTGACAAGCTAAGAACTTGAATGGCATTTTTTACCCTCATTTTTTTAATTTTATCAGGATAAATGTGTCTGTCCGTCAATTTTGGTAAGAATCGTTGATTCTGCATTCCGTATACGTCAATTTCATATAAGTCAATAATGTGTTTCCAGGATGCAAACTTTCTTCCTTCTTTTTTCAAGCATAAGTTGCTTGATTGCAGATCGATTACTAGATCCTCCGTCACAAATAGTTGCATAAACTGTTAACCCTGCATCTTTAACAGCACCAATTACTTCTTTAATACAGTATAGTAATTGGTCTGTTTTAGTTTGTGCATTACAAAAATTAAAGGAAATAGGCAGAGTGTCACCTGAGTCAATAAAGCGTAAGTAGAAATCTGTTTCAAACTCTTATATCTATTAAAAAAATAAAAAAAAATATTTTTCATTTCACTTTCAATCAATTAAAAAATAAAAAAATAATTGTCCATTCAACTATAACTCAAGTAAAAAAATGAAAAATATTTTCCATTCAAATCACATAAAATTAATGAATAAAAAAATTAAACATTGTCCACTCAACATAAACAAAATTTAAAAATAAAAAATATGCAGGCCTCGGATTGATTTTAACGAGCAAAAAAAGTTTCTTTAGTCTATTACAAATATAAAGAAATTCGAAAAAGTCGTTCGTTTAATTTAGTATTGACACAGCAATTTTATTTAGTATTTCCCTGATTCGTGTTTTATCGCAAAATTTGAAAAAAGTAAAAAAAATTGCAATTTTTTAATATAAGTAGATAATAGTTGCATTACATGAAAAAAGTCGAAAAATCATAATATCCGAGGCCTGAATATGTAAAGAATGTTCCATGCAGCATAAATAAATTAATTTACATGAGTGAAATTAATAAATTATATATTTTATTGTCCTGCAAATAAAAAAGGTTAATACATTTAACAATGTTAACAATTTTTAACATTATTAACAATGTAGCTTTTACAGAATTTTAATTAATATTTAATTTTTAAAAAATTTTTCTCACGAAGAAAAAAAATGTAATAGTATTACCTACGGCGCCCTCGACCTCCACTCGTGTCACAAGAATCACCGTAAACAAATTGGCTGCCTTTATTCCCGTGTTACTTACGATATTTTTTATTCCTAATGCACAAAAGTGGCGATTTCAGATAGCAGACGACAAGGAGTAAAAGTCATTCACTTGTTCGACTTGTATGAAAATGGCGGCCTTTTTTTACCTTGGGCAAAAAAAAAGCATGGGACCAGCTGTTTTTTTGCCCTTGGGGAAAAAAAGTCGCCATTTTCATACGGTCGAACAAATGAATGACTTTACTCCCTGTCGTCAGCTATCAAAAGCGCCATTTTTGTGCATGTGGGATAAAAAATATCTTCAAAAATACTTGAGTTAAGAAAATAAGAAATTAAAATTGTTTTTTATTTATACACAACACTTGTGTATTTAGATCTAAAATTTTCAAATGATATATACCTATTTATTTTTTTCTTTGCACTATTTGCTTCTGCACGTTTCTCCTGCAGTTCGCAGTACAGTTGTTTTTCGATGGGAGTTAATAATGAGGCTACTCTCCACGGTGTTCTTTTATTAGGCCTCATTGATACTGTTTCCTTCGGTGTGGACATTTTAGGAACATTATTGAAAACGGTCGGAGTGCTTTCCTGAAACACTTTTTCGGGAGTTTATTTGTGTTGGCGTGGACTACGCTAGTCCCATGAAACTAAAAGAGAGCCATCGCCGTGGTCGAGTGCACACATTTAAAGCATACTTGGCAATATTAGTTTGCTTTAACACCAAAGCAGTTCATATCGAGTTAGTGACAAGTCTTTCTACGGAGGCATTTTTGGCGCATTGTGGCGGATTGAGGGAAGCAGCTGTGAAGGTAGCCAAACAGCGTCTCAATGCGGTAACACAAGGATTGACTTTGACCTTCGAAGAAAGTTATACATTGCTCACGGAGATTGAAGCAGTTATGAATTCGAGACCTCTCACTCTATTATCAAGCGATCCAGCAAGTCTTGAGGTCTTGACTCCTGCTCATTTTTTGATCAACGACTCATCGATTCAGCCAGTTCAGCCTGAATTATTGGATATTCCTGATAATCGTTTAAGTAGATGGCAATTGCTCCAAAAGGTTAGACAAGATTTCTGGAAACGGTGGAGCTTGAAGTATTTACAAGAGCTTCAAAAGCGTTCAAAGTGGTGTTCTGGAAGTGATTCAATATCAACTGGAGCAATGGTACTACTGATGGAAGATAGCACCTCACCTTTACAATGGAATTTAGGACGTGTAATGGAAGTTCACCCTAGCAACGATGGAATAGTGAGGAAAGTGACTGTCAAAACGCAGACAGGATTGTTCGTCAGATCAGTTCGTAAATTGTGTCCTCTTCCAATGGACTCCCAGTTCCAAAACTCTTGAATGATACAGACTACAATTGTGATTATAATTTACTTTTCTTGTTTATAGTTTTTCAAATTACATGTCTTTATTAAAAGGTACCCTTTCAAGGGGGGAATATGTTTGTAATTAGCAGAAAAATAAGTAAACTATTTCTTTTAAATATTTTAAATTTGAATTATTCTCGCGGGCTTAACATGCAAATTGAAACGCACTCTGGTGAGCGCGTTGACGCAGTAGAATTTCGTTAGTTATGTGTTTGTACTGAAACAGAGAGCATGTAAAAATAAACCCTGAGATGAAAATGAACGATTTGTGTATTTATTTACAAGTAATAAACACTATGTCAAATGTTGCTTAACATACAAAAATTTAAAAAATTAAAAAGTTTCCTGTACAGGAGCCTTTACAGGAACCTTCGATGGCTAAGGTTCCTGCATCGGAACCTACACAGGAACCTTGTCCCAAAATCCCGTACGGGATCCGGTTGGGATCCTGCATAGGATCCTGTACGGGGATTTTAAGCTGGGGATCGCACTTGCTATTATTGCACGCGCGGGCTTAATTGTTTCTAAGAAAAAAATTGAAGTTAAAGTACTGCCAAAGCTCTTTATCGACAGCTGCCTGCGCAGGCAGCCGGCCTCAATTAGGCGGAAGAATTAAATTATTATTTTTTTAATGAAAATTATTATTAAAAGTGAATAGAAATAATAATTATTATAATTTTTATTATTATCTTTAATTTAATTCCATTATTACAATTAAAAATAAAAAATTATTAATTTTATTTTATTATTAATTAAAATTTTCCGCCTAAAGTGAAGCTGGCTTCCTGCGCAGGCAGCTGTCGATAAAGAGCTGTGGCAGTACCTTTATATGTAGCAACTATTTTCTATTAGAAAGTACATGTTTCAAGTCGAACCCAGTAAAAAAAATTATTGAGTGGAGCGTTTAGGAATTGAGTGAAGCTCTGAGCCAATAAGTTTGACAAGCGCGTCTGAATTTACAATGTGAATAAATGAAGTGGTAAGTTTAAATTGACTAAAAGAAATCTACTTTTACCGACAGAAAGATCCTAGAGAATTGTGGTAAATTCAAATGAACAATGAAATTTACTTGGTTTATTTTCTCCATTTGAATTTACCACAATTCTCCAGGATCTTTCTGTCGGTAACAGTAGAATTCTTTTAGTCCATTTAAACTTACCACTTCATTTATTCACATGGTAAATTCAGCCGCGTTTGTCAAACTTTGCTTTTACCAATTTTTAACAAAAAATAAAAAATATTCACTGTTTCTTATAGAAATAGGCATTTTTACATTTATGGAGAATTATGCTTTCAATTTATAATGTATACTCTGCTCGTGTGATTTTAATTTTAATGCTAAAATAAGACCGTATTCGGTAGATGAAACAAAGATTGAGTCAATCGTCCCAATACGGTATTTACTCGAATCCGTATTGGCTCAGAGCATCACTTAATTCCTAAACGCTCCACTACTCAATACTTTTTTTTACTGGGAAATATATGTGACTGTCCACGAGAAAACGCGGCTTTGCTCTAAAAAATCAATTTTGAGTTTTTTATGCTAATCGATAGATATTATATCATTTTTTTAAAATGCTAAAATCAGAAGTTGTAAATGTAAATTATTTCCGACAATATAACTTTTTAAAGAAGTTATATTATTAATGCTTCTGCTTCAATCGCTCGCCCTGTGAAATTCAGTTTAGGGTTGATTCAAAAGACATTACAAGCTAAAAATATGGTTTTTAAAACTTTTTTAATACAGAATGTGTGGGAATTTCAGGTGTAAGGATATTAAATAATTATTCCCACTTGTGTGCTCAATTAAACTGACTCCATGATATAACTTTAATAACCACTTTATTGTACTTTAATAATAATTATAATTATAGCCAAAAGGCTGGACGAGATAAAAGTCGACTTTACAGTAACATGACTCAATTACGTATATAATATAAAGTCTCGCGCCTTGCAGCTCCGAAAGAACGAGTCTGCGCGGTAGTAAAGAGTGAGAGGGGAATAGAGAGACAGAGTATATTCCCCACATACTCCCCCCCAAGTGTCTAACGTAACGAATAAAAAACTATTACAAAATACGTAACAATACAATATTTAAAAAAAATTAACGAAGTCAAATTTCAAAAAAAAATAAAAAAGATATATATATCGCAGTCATATTTCAAGAAATATCGTGATTTCTTTTTTCTTAAAAAATACAAAATTTTAGTTCTCTAATTATAAGTACTAAACCTAAGAAATACAAAAAAAATTCAGGATTGAACAAAATCCTAGATATTAATAATAATGCGCAATCTTATAAAAATAAAAAAGAAAATTGTATATTGTTTTGTTTGAGATGGCCATCTCCTTAAAATTAATTCTTAATAAAATTTTTGCATTTAGTACTAATAATACTGCTAATTTACTTTAAATTAAAAGAGACTTTTTTCTTTCTGTTAGAATAAGTTCTAAGAGGTTTTTGTACTTGAAATTGACTTGAATCGTTACTAATTACTATTGGCGAATGAATTTCAGGACGAGAAACATTACTGAAATCATTTTTTTCGCAATTTGTCGCAGAATCAGGAGGAACGAAGAAGGCCGGTTTTACGTTCTCTACCGAAACTCGGCGATTCTTTCCATTTACCTCAATTTCAAAAATTTTTTCAGTGATGCGATCTATAACCTTGTGAGGACCAGAATATGGACATTCAAGAGATTTTTTCATAGTTCCAACTTTCAGGAAAACATGCGAACACGAATAAAGATCCTTATGGAAAAAAATCTTTCTCTTATGTCTGTGCTCAACCGGAGCAGGCCGGACCGCGCGCATGTGCTCGCGGAACTCCTCCAAAAATATCTGCGGATCAGGTTCGAATTCCTCAGGCAAAATGAATTCACCTGGGATTCTCAAGGTGGTGCCATACAAATACTTAGCAGGGGAAGAACCAGAGTCGAGAACATTCATTCTGAGTCCAAGGAGAACCGTTGACAAAATATGAATCCACTGCTTATCGGAATGACATCTGATCGCTGCCTTCAGCGTTCGATGCCAACGCTCGATGATACCATTGGCGGCAGGATGGTAAGCAGTGGTTCGAATTCTATGACAGCCGGACAATTTCAACAACGAGGAGAATATCTGAGACTCGAATTGACTCCCCTGGTCAGTTGTTAAGGTCTCAGGCGCACCATACCGCGAAATCCACCCATCAACGAAGGCACGATACACCGTTATCGCCTCCACATTCCTGAGCGGAATAGCCTCAGGCCACCTGGAGAATCGATCAATGAGAGTCAAGCAGTACCTGTAGCCGTCACAAATTGGTAAAGGACCAACTATGTCCATATGAACATGTCGGAAACGTCCATCAGGAGCCAAAAAATTTGATGGTTGTAAAATGGTGTGTCGTGATACCTTGGATTTTTGACAATCCAAGCAACCTCTACACCATTTCTTAATATCTGAATTCATCCCGGGCCAGACGTAACTTTTGCGGACAATACGATCGGTAACCTTACCACTAGGATGAGCAGGATTATGAAATGTCTCGAAAACGCGTTTACGTAAAGATAACGGAATAAAAGGTCGAATTATCTCACCAGACAGGTCGCAAAATATGGCGGTTTGATCAGTACCCCAAAGCATGCGACAAAGGTTGAGAGAAGTCGATCCTGTTTTTAAAAGAGACTGTAATTCCACATCATCCTTCTGAGCGATAGAAAGCTCAACGAAATTGACATCAGTTGCCAAACGAATCGCGTCTACACGAGAAAGACTGTCAGCGACGACATTCTCGTTACCAGGTAAGTATTTAAAGGTCGTCGTAAACTGGGAAATAAATAAAAGCTGTCGAACCTGACGGGGAGAGGCTTTATCCGATTTTTGGTTGAAAGCGTAGATCAGAGGTTTATGGTCCGTAGCAATGTGAAAATCTCTAAACTCCAAAAAGTGTTTGAAATATTTCACAGCTTCATAAGCGGCCGTCAACTCTCTGTCGTACGTACTGTACTTTTTTTGTGCTGAATTAAAGCTTCGAGAGAAGAATGCCAAGGGTCTCCAAGAACCCTCCTGAAACTGTTCCAAAGCAGCGCCCATGCCATAATCTGAAGCATCAGAAATCACGCGAGTAGGGGCCTGACAATCAGGGTGAGTTAGGAGAGTGACATCAACAATGCTCGAACGGCACCTTTCAAACGCTTCAATAGTCAAGGGAGTCCAATCAATTTCACGGCGATCGTTTTTTCGAGAATTCTTAAGGAATGAATTTAATGGTCTTTGATTTTCAGCAGCATGGGGAAGGCTGCGCCTATAAAAATTCAAACAACCCAAGAATCGCTGCAACTCCATAACTGTTTTTGGCCTAGAATAATCATTAATAGCTTTGACTTTCTCGATAGTAGGTTTAATTCCATTTCGATCAATGGTGTGTCCAAGAAATTCAATTTCTGAAAGGCCAAATTCACACTTACTGGTATTTAATCGAAGGGAAGCATTAGAAAGGCGTTGGAAAACCTCTCTCAAATGCAACTTGTGTTCCTCCAAATCGGAAGATGCTATCAAAATATCATCTATATACGCGAAACAATAGTTGAGATCCCCAAGGACTTGATTCAAATAGCGCTGGAACGTCTGACTCGCATTTCTAAGGCCAAAGGTCATCACCGTAAACTCAAAAAGCCCAAAGGGGGTTATTACCGCAGTCTTTGGGATGTCTTCCTTCGCGATTGGAATCTGGTTATATGCCATAAAAAGATCCAATTTCGAAAATATTTTTTTACCGTGAAGAATATTCGAGAAATCCAAAAGATAAGGAACAGGGTATCTGTCAGGAATAGTACATGCATTTGTTCTACGATAGTCCCCGCAGCATCTCCATTCTCCATTTTTTTTAAGGGTCATGTGGAGGGGTGAAGCCCAGGCTGCACTCGAAGGACGACAACGACCAGATTTCACCATCTCCTGAAACCAAGCCTTCGCAATCGCACACT